CCCTCGGGCTGCCGAACCCAACGGGCCTCCGTCCCGAGTCCGGCAAGGGGCAAAAAGGGCGGGAAGCGGGGGACACGACCACCCATGGGAAGCGGACGCGGATGGAAGGGGTCGCCAGAAATGCTGGCGGTTCCAGACACCCACAGTGCCGGCTGAGCACCTTCCCCCCTCACCTGCCGCCGCGACTTCACCCTGCTTCCACTCGAGGGCCTCCGCCGCGCTGACGAAGCCCCTCAGCAGGGAGCGCTCCAGGGCCAGCATGGTCCCACCGCCGCCACTCGACACCCCTGCGTTGACAGGTGTTGCCGCCGTCTCCTTAACCCATGTGCATGAACGGGCGGCAGGGAGCCGCCATGACACTGTCGCCGAGCACGCCGGGAAGTCGCGGCACCGCGCAGGCGCGATAGCGGAGTGACAGAAGCGCGACTTCGCCCCGCGCCGTCCTGTCAGAGCGGCGGGAGGCGGGAAATGGAAATCGCCTCAGCCACCTCAGGGCGAGGCGGACTAGGGCTCGCAGCGGAGGCGAGCTCCGCGTTGCCGTGGGTGGTGTCAGGAGCCCCTCGACCCGTTGATTTATAGGGAGTTCACGTCCGTCCGTCCGTCCGTACCCAGCTTTGTTCTGCGCACAGGGGGACACGTCTGTCGTGCTTTCTCTCGGGCGACGTTTGCACGTGATCGGGAAGTTAGAGCGTGTAAAAACACTTTTTCAGCTGCATAGGTGAGAAAAATGATAGTGGTTCAGACTTAAAGCAGATCAGAGAGAAAACATTAAACGTGCTTAGTAACCAGGCAGGGTTTCTTTTGGATGGGTGTGCCTGTACCTGCATGCCTGAAGGTGGTCTAGACACAGGCCTGCTGCTGAATTGAGGCTTAATAAGATTTCACGGGAGGTGAAATGCTTTGGTCAGTTCCTGTATTCATTTCAGCATCTGTCCAGATACCTGTAGGAACATAATTCTGTCCCATGATTTCTGAGCTATTTACTTTGATTGTGTGTGTACATCAAAAGGGAGAAAAAAGGCCATAGAATCACGGACTGTGTTGGTTTGGAAGGGACCCTTAAAGGTCATCTAGGCCATGCCTCCTGCAGTGAGCAGGGACATCTTTAACTAGGTCAGGCTGCTGAGAGCCCCATCAAGCCTGACCTTGAGTGTCTCCAGGGATGCGGCCTGCTGCATGCCCCAATGCTCATTCAGAATTGAATGAAATGGTTGAAACAATAAAAATTTTCCTCAGAGTTGCTAATGAAACTTGAAGGTAATCAAGTCAGAAACCAGAAGGCCATCACAGCAGAGGGCAAGTTCTTGATATGGAAAGATGGATGTTCTGTAGAGAACTGTACTGTAAAGGTTGTAATTAATTTTGCTATTGGGTGCAGGGTATAGTATCATTAAATAGCTTATTTGTCAGTCTTCATTAGTCTTCAAAAATTGAAAGTATTGTCATCCTATTTCCATATCTAACAGTCATTAAAATTCGAGGAAAACTTAATGCAGCTTGTTGTTTAGATGACTGGAATAGGTTATCGCATGTTTAGTCTCTAATATATAGGCTGTTAATTTCAAATTTAATTTTAAGCAGATTTATAAGATCAAAATGCAGTTAAATAAAAATGTTGCTTTACAACTTATTTTCTGACCTGAAACAATCCACACTCTTTATATCAGTTTTGACAAGAAAACTTACAGAAATTTATATAGCTAATAGATAGCCATTAACTCACCATCAGTTCAAGGAACTGTGAACCAAAAATGAACATCCTGGAAGTAGTGTGTTACTGAAATTCTTAGAACAGAGTAAATAATTCAGTTGTCGTGTTCTGTGTTAGAAAAACAATGAAATCCATGAAGTTTATTAATTTCACTGTTAAAAAGTATAATGGCTGAAATAAAAATTATTTTACTTGCTTACTCTTTGTGTGTGTAGCAATAGAACTGTGATTCTGTATGAAAACTGTGATAGTCAAGAGTTAGGCTAATTGTTTGTGCTTAAATGCTACTTACACAGTAACAAATTTCTTTACATTCCACATAATAGATCTGCATTAAATGTACATAGTTTTTTCTAAAATTGAATGGCTAAATTCTCAAGTGAAGTCTAACTAAAAGGTAAGTAACACTCCTTTTAACCACCACCATCCTTTTTTCAGAGAATTCAGAATATCTGTTAAAATACAACTAAGAATTTAGTAAATAAATGAAAAATACATTTACATGGTCTGTCAATAACATTAAAATAAGAATTCCCATTGTGACATTTTCTGCTCTTTATTTTCAGGGAAAAAAGTAAAGTAAAATTTTCTGGAAGTAAATATATATTGGTAAATAAAATTAGTTAATAAAAATGAGGAATATTTTGCTGTTTTTCTTAACTCAGCCAGTTCCCTCGATGTGTGGGTTTTTTACCGTTACAATTCAGTTCTGGAGGCATCTAGAAACTATAGCATGGGCAGGAGTACCACCAGCAGAATTGGCGTACTCCTGGCTGACAGTGGACTGATTGTTACTGCTGATGTAAAAGATGTTTTTAGTTGTTTATCGGTTGCCATTTGCCAGAGACTTACTGAAATCTGCTGCTTAGACTTGCTTCCCTAAATGATTTGGAGAATATACATACTTTTCTCAAAGAATAATTGGGCTTTGTTTGGATTTAAGGATTGCTTCTGCCAGTTGACTCAAAGGGAAGCAAGCCTTTTGCAGTATACGGTGTAGTGTGGAGTCAAGATTTGAGCATAGTACTTCTTACTACTTCTAAGCAGGAAGTAGATAATCAAACTTTAGGAGTTTTCAGAGAATCATCTTCCACTTCCAAGAGTATAAGAAAATTATTGATATGAAGTGTTGTGCTACTGTGTTATCTGAACTAGCACATTTAATGTCACCTGTGATGCTGTTCTGATGCAATATTTATCTTCTGTTGCAGGGTTTTTTTCCTAAAGCCTTTTGAAACAGATTATCTCATTGTGGACTACCAAAAAATGCTACCTGTAAAGAAAAAATTTGGAAAGTTTAGGGTAATTATTAATAGTATAGACATTTATTATGACATTTTTAACAATGAGCTGCTGTTTGTAAAACTGCTGTTAATTAATTTTAATTTCATCCTCAATTCAGTGTACCAGGTTGCTGGTACTGCTGAAGAAAGAAGCAATTGTGTTGTATGCCATTTTTGAACAATAGTTGTTTTGATATTTGAGAAGTGGGGAAAGGGAAGGAATTGTTGAGGAGAACACCCATTCATTGGTATAGCAGGATGAAAACTTGCAAGGTTGTATAACCAAATTTCTGCAATCCTAAAGAGAATATTTGACATATCTGGTGGTAGGAGGGGAGCTGCAAGGCTTATACTGGGGAGTTCTATCAGCTTGTCTTACTTCAGCTTTGTTAGTTCAGTCAAGCTATATCCCAGTAACTAGTTATTCTTTGTGAATCGTCATATTTAAGGTTACACCATCTCGAGTTACAGCATCAGAAACATACTTCAAGCTTATTGGAAGCTTAGTGGACCCCAAAAGACATCAGCTAAATGTTCAAACTGTATTCTTCACTTTTGCTGAGTTACTGCACAGGCCCTCACTGTAAGGAGCAAGGTGGTCTTTCAGGAAGCTTCTGGCATACCTACAGCTTTTCCAGTTACATTTGCAATTTAAAAATAAACATAGACTTACAGTCTTGAGATTACAAAGGCAAAAGAATGACAATTATTATACAGCTGTTAGGACCTACTAGTAGTGTATCTCAGTCACAGGGACTGATGTGATACTGGACGTATACTATAGTTCCTTCACTGCGTTCACCAGCTAGCACTGTATCCATTGGTTCTCTCAGCTCTGACCAGTTTGCCGACTTAGGCTCTTGCTTCCCCCAGACCCTGTATAATGCAAACACTGCTCAGTCAGTGAGGTGGAGGTAGAGAAGCTACACTCCTAATGTGCCAAAATAGTAGTGGTTGGGAAATTCTTCTCTAATAACTCTATAAAGCAGTGACAGGGAAAGGCAGTGTAAGCACAAGAAGAAAAGGAAGAGTGATTCAAACCACTCTTTGAGAGTGTACAACAAAATATGGGCAGCTGCAAATAGCCCTGCACAGCTCTTCTCTGATATTGTGGTGACTCTCCTAAAAGCGTTGACATTAATCTTCATTGATCATTTAGAAAATATATGCTAATATTACTGTTTCTCTTTTTGTATGGTACCCAAGATCAGTAAATAACTAGACAAAGATGAAGGAGGTCTCCAGTAAATATATAGTCTGTCTGTAAAACAAAATTGTAAGATCTGAGATGCAGTCTTCCCACTCTTAAAAGGTTAGTTTTTCTTAAATGTAGCCATTCATTTAATATTGTCCTTCATTATGTCCTTTTATAAACTAGTTCTTGCCTGGTTAATAAGCAGAAATTTGCTCTGCTTCAACTACATAACTTCTGAGAGTTTTCAAATTAAGAAACCAAAGCTGATGTGAAAATAATTCAATTTACTGTTCAACAAAAGAAGAATTCAGAAATTACTCTTTCATTAAATAAGCATGTCATATCATGCCTGAGTTTGCAAAGGGTTTAATGCCTTCTCAAATGAGCTCATACGGAATCATTATCTCATGATGTCTTAATTTTTTATACAGCAACATTGCCTGTCTTTCTTTACTAGCTTCAAAAAAAGAGAGAACATTATTTTTTTCTATATATTGAAGGGCTTTCATTCAATGGATTCCCTTTGTTGGCCTGGAGAAAACAAGCTGAACAAAATTGGTTCCAATCACAGTACATCAAACAGAAATTTTAGCTGGGACAGATAGAATATTGTATTAAAGCTACATGATAACTTAAATCTTTTTTGTGCACTCAGTAACATGACTATGTTTTTTAACATAGAGTGTGAAAATTTCATAGTCATCTGTGAGCAGAAATGTGTTTTTGAGATTACCTGACATTTTAATAATAGAATGGATAGTTCTGGTTCTTGGTATGCATGTGTATCACAACCAGTTCAGGATGACCATTGGTCATCCCTGTTTTATAACGTAGGTTTTAGTGAGTACTGTGGATGAAAGAGGGGTATGTGTGGATGTGTGTGTGTGTGTGTGTTTATTACAGAATACTCCATGTGAATAAGCACAAAATTACTGGATATGTGAATATCTTTACATCAATATAATAAGCAGTTTTCTTCAGCTTTCTCTCTTCTGTTTCAGAAAAGCTGAAGATTCTGAAAAAAACCCCCACAAGTTAATTTATTATGTGATTATACATTAATGCATTCTAT